AGATCAAATGTAAAAGTCAGCCGAATTAGTGTTGATACTGCAAGGAGACGTATTGTGTGAAGAGAAATTGAAGATGTTGTTTAATTGCTGATATATTTATGATCCACGTCAAGTATTCAGTTTCGGTGGCATTTCTTCCAGTTTGTCCAGAAGTCTTCTCATCAGGGCTCTATAAATAAAGAACTACGGCAGATCTGTAATATGTAATGCAGCCGAACCGTGTATTACAATGACATTATGTGATGACTTTCAAAGAGAAAAGCAAGAACACTCGGAATAAAGTATTATTTTCTTTAAAAAAAAAATGTTTTTCGGATTTCATATCACATAAACACCATATCCCTACGTGCATTGCGGCTAAACAATCCAATCAGCGAGCTTAAACCATAGCTGAGGATCTTGGGTAATCAGTTCAGTGGCTGTGTAACCTTTTTTACCCCCTTTTCCATCCCTGCTAGAGAGCAGGTACTTTCGTGGCAGAAAAAGGTTCCTATGTCTGATTGGCTGGGCAGATTGCAAACCACGCCCCGTAAAACTCCCAAAAAGTTTTGTGAGGCCGCCATTTTATTATCCTCGCAGTAGCATTATTAGCATTAGCCCAGCGTACAAACGCAGAGATTAACTTATGGCAACACAAAAGAAAACATGGGAGCGGTGGAGATGAGGAGGTGTCGGCGTTCTGGCGATATACTCGGAAGGCTTCAGTAGAAGCTGCTGGGACTCCCAGCAGCTTCTACTGAAGCCAGTCCCCAACTCCGGGGACTTCTGGCCGGGGACTTCGGGTGGCAGTATACGGCGTGAAGTTGTTTGCGGCCTGCCAGTAAACCCAAAGCAGAAGAAGAAGTGACATCAGTGGCTTCATTTGCCTAATCCTTCCCCAGGAACTTATTCCGGTGTGATCGCGATCTGTACTTAGTTCATGAGAACTAAAGAGTTCTCATGAACTAAGTCCTCATGAACCTTTGTGGGAAAAGTGCTGCGGTGTGAATGCGCCTATTTGTACATTATCTTCAGTGTAGATATGTCAACGAAAAAACTGGCAAAAACTTCTCCTCCCGCATTGAACATCGCAGAAACTCCATTCAAACATCAAAACGTTCAGCTCGGTCGGGAATCGATGGCTATTACTTTTATCATTCATAACTTTCATAATTCCAGAGAAACATCCCATAAATCACATTTTTAACATGGAAGTCAATGGAGAAATCTTCAGACTTCAACAATCTTCATGCAACTTCAACTGCTAACTGCTCCTTCTTCAACTGCTAACTGCTCCTGCATACTTTCACTCAGAAACCTCATTCCAACTTTAAAATGTTACACATCGTTCTGACATTATTCATATAACACAACTTTTAAATCTGATTCTTACTTTTAGAGATAAAGAGGCCTTCTTCAGATTTTATATTTTCTTTTAAACCTGCCATAATTCCCAAACCCTACATTCCTGAGACATAATTTTTCATGAGAAACGTAGGAAAACATGTTGAAATGTTTTCCCTAGCTTGAAAGATAAAAAAAAATTAAGCAAAATAATTAAACAAAATGCCTCTTGAGGGCATGAAGTGACAAAAACGTTCAACATGTCTCCATTAAAACCCATTGTAAATTCAGCCTCATCTTTCCTCACCACAGCAGCCACACACCTTTAGTTAATCTGCCAAAAAGGCCACATTATTAAACCGAAAGTACACACAAAGTACACTTCAGATGCTCAAGTTCCTTGACATGCTTCACACTTTGAAATGTCACCGATATCTGTTACGGTTCTTCAACAAAACGTTCACATGTAACAGGTTTATCTCTCATTTAGAACAATGAAAATGCTCTCCTCTCACTGATCACCATGGAAACCTTTGATCTCTGGACACGTCGTTAGCTCAAATATAAACACCTGTGTCATGGAACACGATGATGTCATAACTCCAATTGCCATAATTAGAGCAGCAGACTAATGACGTGGTCACTGGAGTTTAACAGACTGTCTCAGCCTATTCTTTTCCGTCTGATGGAGACTTCATACTGACTTCAACATGTTCCACATATTTTAGACATTATTGGTGACGTATGGTTTTAGTTCTAAAGTTTTCAGTTCAAATATTCTGCTGCTTTTTCATGCATTTAGACTTATTTCACATTCAAGTCCCCTCTATACATGAACCCTTTAAAGTACTCATCCACACCACTTATATACCAGGTGCGACTGTTGCTACAGTACAGTATGTGAGTTCATCTTTCAAATACAAGGTTGCTTGTTTGATTCAAGCTCTTGTAGTCAATATGTCATGGTATTTATCCCTAATATTTTATCAGCTAACTAATGACACATACTCAGAGGATCTTTATAAACATTTTAAGTTTTGCACATCTTTAAACATGACTCTTATAAATCACTTTTAAAACCAGCGATGCACTACAGTGTCAGCTTTTCTAAAATAGAAACTTCAATGTTCACATCTAAATGATCTAAATGATTAAACTTTTCAATGACCTACAATTAATCCTAATAATAATCCCATTTTCAATCTTCCAACTGTTCATATTTTTTGGTCAATTAACAAACCTGTTACAAATGTGTTGTTCAACAAATTTGAGCCTTTGCCACATTTATTTGATCACCATGGAAACCTTTGATCTCTGGACACGTCGTTAGCTCAAATATAAACACCTGTGTTATGGAACACGATGATGTCATCACTTCAACTGACATGCTCAGAGCAGCAGACTTCAGATAGTGGTTAATGGTCCTGCCCTCAACAGCTCTACGTCAATTATGGGGTGTCATCATATGCCGTTTCCATGGAAACGCATCCCTCGCCATAAAACACGATGTCGCTGTAACTCCAATGGACATGGTCCGATCGTCCCCCAAACTTCGCTTTTATATCACAAATCTGACATCTCACCATATGCCGTTTCCATGGAAACGCATCCCTCGCCATAAAACACGATGTTGTCGTAACGCCTATGAAAAGGGTCAAAACAGCACCACACTTCAGATAATAGTTAACGGTCCAGCCCTCAACAGCTCTCCGTTAATTATGGGGTTTCATCATATGCCGTTTCCCTCGCCATAAAAGACGATGTCGCTATAACTCCTATGGAAATGTTCAAAAAGTGCTCAAACTTCACATGTGTGCTAACAGTCCAGCCGTGAAGACATCTACGGGACAGTTTTGAGATTTCTTCAAATGCCGTTGCCATGGCAACACAATGCTCGCCATGAAACACGGTTTTCTCATAACTTCAGTGAAAATGCTCCAAACGCCCCAAAACCTCACAGGTTTGGTAAAGATGCAGCCATCAACGCATCTAAGCGTATTATGGGATGTCATCAAATGCCGTTGGCATGGCGACAGATCATTCACCATCAAGATTAATCAAAAGTTTGCAGTTCAAATATTCTGCTGCTTTTCCAAGCCTTTTTACTTTATTTTCTTCTCTCATCACACATTCAAGCCCCCAGTGTTCATGTATCATTTCAATCTAAATTCTTCACTTTCTTCTTACATATTACATTTCAGCATAGCAGTTTAGCGTCATCTTTTCAGCATAAAGCATTCCCACTAGCAATTTCTTCAGGAATTGCTTTCTCTAGTTATTATTATTGTTTGTTTTGTTTTCTAACCTGTTCAATGAGTGATGAGTCAGGTCCTCAGTGATGAGTCCATGTCAGGTCCTCAGTGATGAGTCCATGTCAGATCCTCAGTGATGAGTCAGGTCCTCAGTGATGTGTCCATGTCAGGTCCTCAGTGATGAGTCCATGTCAGGTCCTCAGTGATGAGTCCATGTCAGATCCTCAGTGATGAGTCAGGTCCTCAGTGATGTGTCCATGTCAGGTCCTCAGTGATGAGTCCATGTCAGGTCCTCAGTGATGAGTCCATGTCAGATCCTCAGTAGGGATGGGAACGATGAATCGAATATTCGAAATTATTCAGGTATTCGAATAATTATTCATGTATTCGAATATGAATTATGAATTTTTTGATGAATTTTTTTTTTTTTTGGAGTGATGCCTAAGTTGATTACATATTATCAAATTCAATAATTCAATGTATATATATACACGACAGTGCCATAGCTAAATGTGTTAGTTGACGTCTAAAGGTGTGTTTTGCTCCGCTCACCGGTCCCTCACAGCGGGCAGAGCTACAGGTGCTGATCTCTCTCTCTCTCTCGCGTCCGGTTATATCACTCGCGTTTATGTCCAAATCCATCAGATCTAGCTAGTTCTAGCCAATGATGTGGCTGCTGCCCCTCCCTACACGCAGATCACGCAGACTCAAACCTCATCTTAGGCCCAAATGTGGCGCAAATGCGCTCCGCAGCCGTTGCGCGGTTCCGGCGCTAACAGTTCATGAGCGTGCTCCCGCGCCCCCTGTCAACACTCGCGACACATGAGTGGCCAGCCTAAACAACAATAAGCGCTGCTTGGCAACCGTGTGTGGCGGCAAAGTACATAGACATTTTGACAGGAGAGATTTAGTTTTGCCGGTATTCAAGATATTTTACCAGTCATAGTCCGGTAATTATTTACACTCCAAGAAGAGTCCTACACAACAGACATGGCGTCAAAAAGGAGTAATGTGTGGAAATATTTCGACCAGGTTAGTGAATGCGGTGTAGAAGTCAAACTATGCCAAATTAAACTTATATATACATATGCTATACCTTGCTATACCCGCAACCTCCGTTCCAGCTGAGAGGGTCTTCTCTACAGCTGGGCTGATTGCGAATCGCCTCCGCACATGAAAGCTGTAGGCCTATAGCTGTCAAACTGTGATCACCAGTTCAATACATTTGACTAATTCGACTTGGTTCTACACTTATTTGAACATGTATTTATTTCCAAAAAAAAAAAAAAATGTATAGGATATGTACATTTCGGTTAACCGGTTAACCGTTTTTTGGGGGGTCGAATATTCAAATATACATTTGCTTTCAAATTCCCATCCCTAGTCCTCAGTGATGTGGACACCGAGGAACCTGAAGCTGCTGACTCTCTCCACACAGTAGTCCCATTGATGGCGATGGGGGCGTGTCCCTCTCTCTGCTGCTTCCTGTAATCCACAATCAGCTCCTTGGTTTTGCTGACGTTGAGATGGAGGTTGTTATCCTGGCACCAAGATGTCAGGTTTTCGTCCTCCTCTCTGTACGGAGTCTCGTCGCCGACGGTAATCAGGCCGATGACGGTCGTGTCGTCAGTAGAGATGGGTATCGTTTGAAATGTATCGATTCCGGTTCTTATCGATTCCCTGTTTCGATTCCAAAATTATAAAAGAAAGAGGTCAAACGTTTAGATAACAAAAATATCTTTATTCTTTTAAGCTTTAACTGGCATTTTTACAAATAAAAAATATACATGCAATACAAATGTATTGCACAATAGCTGTGCTTTATTTTAACTGAGCTATGCCTGTGTCAAGCTATTAACTTGCCACAGGCATAGCACTGTGCCTTGTCTTTTTCTTTTTTAGTGTAGTGGAGCCACACTTTAGAGCGTTTACCGCGATCCATCATTGGTGTTATGAAGTGACTGAGCTCGTGAACCGTCAACGGGAGGGCGGGGGGAGCCTCACTGCGGGGCAACTGTGGATCTCTGTTGCCTGTCAGCGCCGTCTACTGTATCTACTGTCACTTTTCACATTGAACATGTGCTCTTTTATTAAATAAAAAAAAAAATCCCAATGCCAACCCCCCCCCCAGGCAGCACCCCCCCAAAGCAGTAAACCTAGGGGAAACACTGCAAGTACAAGATTCTAATTATACTTGTGTGTTTCTCTGTTATAGACCACACACATACACTAAACCTGCTCCATGGCTGTATTACTGTGCTGTTGTGTTGATATTAATAAGTTAAGGAAATCAACCGCTACCAAGAATCGTGTGTGTTCTTACCGACACGCCAAAGTGTAAGTCACTCAGAGTGAAACCTTCCCCTATACAGTCCTACCTGAATCCCTATTCAATAGGACTCCTTGAAAACAATTCCTTTTTCCAAATAACTGAATTGGTTTTCTTTTGTTGTCGACAAAGGGCCCTCTTTCCGTCATTTTCATTGAGCTGAAGTAAACATACCACTGATTGGCTAAGAGTGAGTTTGGGCTTTTAGGGAGGAGCTAAAGCACACCACTGCAAAGGAAAGGGGTACGCTGAATTTACAACCCAAGACAAAACGAGAGCATAATGCCAAACAGAATACAGCACAATCATCTTTTTATCTCGATTATCTTGTATTGTCAGGAGCACTTATCGTGTGTCAGAAATGTGCACAATCCTCTACTCCAGTGGTTCCCAACCTGGGGGACGCGCCCCCCTTGCCTTGTCTCTTCATTACAATACAATATAAAATATTTTTTTTTAATATATAAATACAATTTATTAATTCATTTGAATATTAATGACTATTAAAGCAAGGCATAAAAATACAAAAATGTATAATTTTTTCTCTGATAGAAATGTTTCTTCTGCCCGTAAAGTGTCCAAACCAGGCTTTGCTGGATAAGCTCATTTTTAAAACATAGTCATTGTCCATGCCGGTTTCAGTTGGATTATTTGTCACAGTTGCTCCGATCAGATCGGTCTCCTACATTTAGATTATTTACGACTTTTGAATCCACATAAACACATCGGCAAAATCCGGCTTACTTTAAGCATGTGTTTTAAACAGTTTAATCCCTTTGTGAATTGTTTCCACTTGTGCCGTCCTTTCATTTCTTCATACAGCGGGAATCCAAATGAATTCATCCTGAGTCCAATAACCATCAAAGTCACTCCAATAGTGCTCCTTAATTACGCTTTCATCCTCCTTTAACAAAATACTTCACATTCATCCAGTTTGTGACAGTAGTTGTAGCATTTTTGAGACTTTTAAACTTTAATTACCGCTGTTGCATCGCTGTCGCTGTTAATCTCAATGAGTCTTTTACCTGGTTAAATAAAGGATATATATATATATTAAGATGGAATGACTTAATAATTACAATTCAAGTCTTACCTCTGCAAGAACTCCAGGGTAGCTCCCAGTTCTGAGCGATAACTGATGTTGAGGCAGTAATATGCTGCAAACATCAGCATCAGGGCGTCGACAACATTCAGGACACTGCCACTGACGATGGTCTGGTCCTCTGCTATCATGTAGTGTCCAGCTGTCAGGGGAGAACTCCCTTAAAGTACACAACAAAGGAAAAATTATAAATCCCAAAAATATTTGGTGCAGATTGTTTATATTTTGTTTTACTGGTGATCACATGGCCAATTGTATTTTAGGAATGATCAGCTCCTGCAGCTTTCTTTTCTTTCTTAAAGGTGGGGTAGGTAATTTTTTTCTTTTCTTTCTTAAAGGTGGGGTAGGTAATTTTACCACTGATTGGCTAAGAGTGACTTTGGGCTTTTAGGGAGGAGCTAAAGCACACCACTGCAAAGGAAAAGGAAAGCTCGAGTGCCCTAGAATTTGAATATACAGCCGGAAAAAATCTGCCACTTCCTTACAGAGCCCCTCCTCCAACACACACGAACACTCACATGACCAATGAGGGCACGAGATAAGTTTGTGCACAGATGGAAGGCTGACAGGCAGGTAGGCCATCCAGTTATTTTAGCCGGGCCGGTGTTCCGGATTGACTGGTTCCCCGATCAACTGGTTGACAGATGTGGAGGCGTGGCCTCGACTGAAATACACATTTCGATCGCTTCTTCTGTCGTTTACATACATCTTTTGGTATATTTGGCTGGATAGGAACACTTTGATGTACATTCAGTTCCAGTGTGTGAGGTTGTGCTTACGATGGCAATATCCGGACGCGAACAGCGAGGACTACAAAAAGAAAAACGAGTTGATCGGGGATGTCTGTTCAAAACATTGCGAGCTCCAATAAATCATTTAAACCAGCTATTGTTGCCAGACTTATTTCTGAATATCGTTCTTAATGTGATACCAAGTCCATCTGATACCTGTGTACACCTTCAGACAGCCTCCAAGTGAAGCACATGTTATTTACTCACAGTTTGAAAGCAGCGTGGAGAAGTCCTTCAGCTGTGTTAAACTGTGATCGCTCGAATAAATCCTTAAAACCACCTATTGTTGCCCGATTTATCACTGAATATCGTTCCTAATGTGATACCAAGTCCATCTGAGACATGTGTACACCTTCAGACAGCCTCCCAGTGAAGCGTACGTTGTTTACTCAGAATTTGAAAGCAGCGTGGAGAAGTCTTCAGCTGTGTTAAACTGTTCCTCTCAGGTAAACTGTGATTCGCCCATGGGAAAATGGGATCCGCCCAGATTAAACTGTGTTACGACTTCTGTGGCTATCTACCAGCGATCATGTTTAATATGAAAGACACACACATATACATCCCTTATAAAAACGGCATTCTGCAGCACTCATCCAGATAACATGTGACTGTTAACTCGTTTGCAAAGATAGCAGCAGAAATGTCATTGCTGCATGTGCAGGGATATTAGACTTTAAAATGCTGATGGGTCATTAATGTTGGTCTCGGCAAACAATATTAGGAATCCTCTATTCAAACCACATAATATTCAGTGTCCATCGACATGAAAATAACAAAAAAGTTCATGCTGGACTCAAACCCGAGTCCCAACCATAGACTGTACAGGGTCCCAACAACAAAGGTCACTCCAGCCCTGCGCGTTATGAGTGCGCCACAGATCAACACGACGTATCGAACCACCACACTATAATATTTTAGATTAACCTTGTTAAAAAGTTCCAGAAAAATGCAACCCGACCATCATTTATAATGTGAGCGAATGTACACTTTAAGCCATATAATATACATATTATAATATAGTATACTGACTGAGGTCTGTATCAAGCCTCATTAAGACCCACCGAGATCAGATATCCTAGTTTATCAGCCTGCGAGCCCACATTATGTTGTGATAAGTGTTAGTTTTACATATAAGTGTGTTAGGGTTAATCTAAAATATTATAGTGTGGTGGTTCGATACGTCGTGTTGATCCGTGGCGCACTCATAACGCGCAGGGCTGGAGTGACTTTTGCTGTTGGAACTCGGGTTTGAGTCCAGCATGAACTTTTTTGTTATTTTCATGTCGATGGACACTGAATATTATGTGGTTTGAATAGAGGATTCCTAATATTGTTTGCCGAGACCAACATTAATGACCCATCAGCATTTTAAAGTCTAATATCCCTGCACATGCAGCAATGACATTTCTGCTGCTATCTTTGTAAAACGAGTTAACAGTCACATGTTATCTGGATGAGTGCTGCAGAATGCCGTTTTTATAAGGGATGTATATGTGTGTGTCTTTCATATTAAACATGATCGCTGGTAGATAGCCACAGAAGTCGTAACACAGTTTAATCTGGGCGGATCCCATTTTCCCATGGGCGAATCACAGTTTACCTGAGAGGATCACAGTTTAACACAGCTGAAGACTTCTCCACGCTGCTTTCAAACTCTGAGTAAACAACGTACGCTTCACTGGGAGGCTGTCTGAAGGTGTACACATGTCTCAGATGGACTTGGTATCACATTAGGAACGATATTCAGTGATAAATCGGGCAACAATAGGTGGTTTTAAGGATTTATTCGAGCGATCACAGTTTAACACAGCTGAAGGACTTCTCCACGCTGCTTTCAAACTGTGAGTAAATAACATGTGCTTCACTTGGAGGCTGTCTGAAGGTGTACACAGGTATCAGATGGACTTGGTATCACATTAAGAACGATATTCAGAAATAAGTCTGGCAACAATAGCTGGTTTAAATGATTTATTGGAGCTCGCAATGTTTTGAACAGACATCCCCGATCAACTCGTTTTTCTTTTTGTAGTCCTCGCTGTTCGCGTCCGGATATTGCCATCGTAAGCACAACCTCACACACTGGAACTGAATGTACATCAAAGTGTTCCTATCCAGCCAAATATACCAAAAGATGTATGTAAACGACAGAAGAAGCGATCGAAATGTGTATTTCAGTCGAGGCCACGCCTCCACATCTGTCAACCAGTTGATCGGGGAACCAGTCAATCCGGAACACCGGCTAAAATGATTGGTCGTGCTTTTTACAGCGCCACGGCTTCTACAGATGACATTTTTGAATGGATTTTTTGTCAAAGCACTTAAGATAATCATTGCTATCGGGATGTTAAGAGCATTCCATGGAATATAACAACAAGTGTATCTCGAGCCGGTTTCTTAAACTTACCTACCCCACCATTAAGTGTTTCCTAATGTTAACAATGTAGAAAATGTCACATCATAAAGGGATAGTTTGGGTGTTTAAAGTGGGGTTGTATAAGGTACTTATCCATAGTCAGTGTATTACCTAGAGTAGATGATGGCCGGTATGCCCCGAGCTTGGAGATACAGACAGGAGCAACCACCTGGAAGCAAAGCAATGTACTACTCTGGACAGGGTCAGCAGAAAAACAGATTTTAGCCACCTCTTGATGATTTACATATCCTTTCACTGTTTGCATAGCAATACCACACGTAAAACTTGTAATATGGCAATAAATCTTACTTGAGGATCTCTGGCTGCTGTTTATTCCTGGTAGCCAATGTTGCAATTGCTGGTACTGCAGCTAACAGCTGAGGGAAAACAGAGACAGAAGTTTGCACATGCTTGGGTAAAAATAACTTAAATAACACAGCACCAGCTTTAAGTACAGTAATACCACTTTAACTGCGATTTTATACACACAGATTATCGGCTTTAAAATGAGAAATAACAGATTTTAGCAGTCAGAAGAATATCAATAAAAAGCACTAAAGAAGCAGTGGTAATAATAATAACAACATGAAAGAGTCACATCTAATATAAATATATTGACGCATTTATTTTAAATGTGAAGCAGTCAGTTTACAATTTTAGCAGCACTGTTGAGCATTTTGAAAATGTCCTTTCAAGCCTCTTTGCAAGGCTTTGTCTTTCTATCTTTATAGCCAGAGGTGTTAAGTAACTAAGTACATTTACTCAAGTACTGTACTTAGTTACACTTTTGAGGTACTTGTTCTGTACTTTACTTGAGTATTAATAATGTTTTTCAACGTAGTACTTCTGCACAATGACTACTTTTACTTTTGGTACTTTAACTATATTTTGATGATAAAACTTTTCTACTTTAACTTGAGTAACATTTAGAATGCAGGACTTTTACTTGCAAGTCAACATAGTATTCCTACACTCTGGTAGTTCTACGGGAGGATTGAGCTAACATTAGGAGTTAGTGACAATGTATGCTAGTTAGCTAGCTAAACAATTTATTAAATAATATTGCGAAAAAGTAACTCTGAAACATTCACGCTCAGCTACTCGAGCACACATCTTGCGCACCATTAAACAAAACAAATAAACACCCTGCACGTAATGATGGCATAGAACAGCTCACTTTCACAGCAAGTAGGTAGCTAGCTCCAAATGTATACCATAGCTAGGACTTTGACGTTTTCAATGTTTTAAGTCTTTAGTGTTTTGAATTCGTTGATAAATAGTTTTTACCATTACCTCTCAAAGTACTGCTTCCTCTCCTCTGGATGTGCTGTGCTCTTCACCTCCTGCGTGCTAACTGCGTGGTCTCTGTCTGCCTCAGGCATGATCTATGCATGCCTGGGTGCATGCAGCAGAAGTCTCGTCTCTGATTGGCTGCAAATCGATTGCCCTGAAAATCCTTTGATGAACATCCAACCCTTGTATTATTTTAAGAATTGGTAACACCACACCATAAAGATTCATTTAAAAGTAACAACAATGATTATAATTGTTTAATTCTTTGGATTTTATTTCCTAATTTAGTAAATAAATCATACCCTCGTGGGGGCGCGCTCATGTGATTGGCTTAGAATTGAGGAGACATCTGATTGACTATAGATAGAAAAAATTACAAGTACGAATCGGGTGAGCGTCAGGGGAGTCTCAAAAAACCCACACACGAATGCACAGCGATCCGTGCACAGAAAGTGGTTTGTGTTTTAAACGGATCACGGAAAACTAATATGTGAGGATCAAAAATACATATGTAAAACTTGTTTCTGTAATTGGATTTTATTTACATGTATATGAAACAGAACACATTTGTGTGTGCATTGAAAAACACAAGTGTGAATCATTTTGCGGATCATGAAATACAAGTGTGAATCCTTCTGTGTGCATGTGTGTATTATGAGACTGTTCTGTGCCCATAACCATGGAGCTAACGCTGTAGGCTACTGGAGAGAATATGTGTAACGTAATGTCCTTGTGGTAAACTCTGCGAGAGAGAAAGGTTTGAGCTCCATACTGTTTCAGAAATAAAGCTTGAAGTAGTTAGGAGCATAATATGGCATGTAATCACCACAGCCTTTAGCTGAGCTTCTCCCCATATAAATCTCTCTAGCAGGGGAAAGCTGCGTGATGCTACAAAGGGGCGTGGCTAGCAGCAGCTACAAAGGGGCGTGGCTAGCAGCAGACGTTCAATTTAAAACAGAATCAGCCTGTTTGGAACAGGGCTGCAATAGAGGGGTATGAGCAGTATGAGGCATGGCGACAATGTTTGGTATTTTAAGCAAAAAACGTCACAGACATGTTTTGTATAGGTATGGCCCTACAATATCTTTTTCAAATATAGCATAATAGGTCCACTTTAAGTAGGTATTAATCAATGTGTACATATAGTTTACTATAATCTTTAGTTATGCATAGTACTGCCTTCCTGATTGCTTTATTTTTGAGAAACCTATTCTGCACCTACCTGAGTTTTAAGAGAGTCCAATACCCTATGAGACTGTTCAGTCTCATAAAACATGCTCAATTTACTTTTTGAAAACATAAGCTCACAATAAAGTCAGATGGGAGATCTACAGAAGCAAAGTGTGATAGACAAAGATGCATTCCTATATTAAACAAACAGAAAGGAAAACTTCCCACGAGGCAGTTGTAGCCATAGCAAATGGATTAACAAGTACATTTAGGTACTTAACCTTCAACTACCTGCTGCCTGAAATCCCTGTGACATCACTGTAGATTGTTGTAACCAACTAGCTGTGTGGGACATTATCACAATACATAAATTAATTTACCTGGATTGTAAAGTTATTTCGCTGTAGTTACTAGCTTTGTCAACATGCTTTGGTGAAGGCCTATTCTTTCAATATGGTGGATTTGAATAGTTGGATATTATTAGACGTCTAAAAGGACAACATAGGTTATTTGTTTTACTGTAATTGCAATGCTAATACCAATTTAGCATAGTGGTAGCACTAACTGCTAACAAGGTTTTAATATTCAGAGTCTGCTGTTAGTGCTTGCTAGCATGTTCAATGTTATGGGCTATATTGTACATGCTAGTGAGATAAGAGCCTAGGGCAGTGGTTCTCAAACTTTTTCTGTCAGGCCCCCCCTTTGGAGAAAAAAAAAAGTCGGGCCCCCCCAACACAAGTCAGGCTCAGTGGCGGCGCCAGAGATGTATTTTGGGGGTGCTGTGGGGTAGCTTGATGTTTCATAGAGGGTGCTCAAACATTTAGGGTTTCCCATTAATGTACCGGTCGCTAGTGGAATTTTCTACTGCAACACTCCCTACGCAAATACACAGTGTACCCGCGACTGTTACAATGAAGGCTCGATAATCAGCTCACGGCATATAGGTGTAAGCAGGGGTAAAGTGCTATTTTTATAGGTGGTGTGTGGACCTCACATAGGGGGGTCTGGCGGCAAGCTCCCCCGGGAAGATTTATTTTTAAATATTGAAGTTGAAAGCATCAATCTGGTGCACTTTGAGAGCAAAATGAAGAGATCTATGGATACCTCTCTCAACACCCATATGAAACAGAACTGTTAACAGATTTACTTTTTCTTTATGGATATTTTACAAATCGCTCTTTAAATTTATTCTTTTTTTACTGTCATATAGTATTTCATACCTGTTTTTCATTTATTCTCTTATTTTTGTACAACTATAATGATCATATACGTAAACGTGTGCCTCGGAAATAATTGTTTACATTAATGGTGACCAAAACGTTTGAGACCCACTGAGATAACACTGAGAGAGTCCTTTAGTTCACTGAGTTTCTCAGTCTGACAGGAGAGGACTCTCCTCCACTTTGTTGTTGAAAAAGCTCCTTATATCCGTTAGCTTCTGGTGCTAGCGAGCTACACTAACAACAACGATCTCCGGTACCGGTGCGCTCTCTCTCTCTCTCGCTCGCGCACGCACACAAAATGGCTCGTTCCACACACACACAGAGCCGAGCTTTAATGAAACACAGAGACCCAGACGTAATAGTACTGTATCATATTATTTTCGAATCAATAATTTTTCAAATTATGATTTTTTTTGTTTTTATCTTTTCTTTTCTTTTTAATAACCATTTTTCCTCCTGGTCTCTCGCGCACGTCCTGTCATGCCTCTGCGCCCCCCAGGGTCGGCGCGCCCCCCACTTTGGGAAACACTGGCCTAGGGGAAGATGCTAATGTTATTTAACTTCTTGATCCTTTCATTTTTCACTTACAGTGAAACTCAATATCGCTACAGATCACATATCTGATCATCTGTGAAAAGCTAAATGATGTCAGAAATTGACACAGCTTTTTCTTGTGTTGAAAGACATCAGCAGGTCACTGTTACTTGGGTTGTGAATGCACCGAACTCTGTCTGTTAGTCCTTGTATTGTTTGTAGCCTTTATTTAACTAGATAAAATCCCATTGAGATCAACGATCTCTTTTTCAAGGGAGACCTGCAGCACATTGGTTACACATAAAAACGACAGAAAACAAAAAGGACAACATACAACATATAATTACAGGGGTATATCCTCCCTGTGTGTGTAATGTGTTTTAAACACAACAGAGTGGGGGAAGACATTTCCCTCTGAGGAATTCATAAAGTATATATTCTTCTTCTTCTTCTACTTATAAATCATAAGTGAATGGTCACATTAGGTTTGCCTGCAGTGAATGCTGACAGCTATGAGCTAGTTTATAGATTTATGGTGGCATAGACAAATGTCTCCTATATAACCCACAGTCTATGGCTGTTACTTGTGAGTTACAGCATCATTTTATATCTGTGTTGTGCTCTGGTAGGAATTTGCACCCAACATGTTAATAACAGTCAACTTTTTTATTTTTGTATTTAACAGTTTTTATAACCTGAAATTCACATATTCAACAATTCAATCCTCAAAGTAATGTGTTAAATGTTTTTGTTTTTTTAATATAATAGGATAGTCAATACCTGTGTTTTTTCAGCTTATCAATGTAAAGTAGTGGTTAAATTACAAAATATTTCTTTCTTTACTCATATATTTTCTTGCAAATATACATTTTTAAATGAGTATTAACAGTATTTTAATGTATTTGACAGTGATATATAGCCATAACAAAAGTATTTTTTTGTAAAATTACAGAAAATGCAGCTAATTTTGCCAACAGAAAATCATTTATTTTTACGGTTAGTTTTGTTGTTGTTGATTTCCTGTAATTATGATTTCCTGTAATTATGATGAACCTGGGGGCTGTGTTGTCTGGAACCTTGTGTTCCTGGTAGGGTCTCCCATGGCAAATTGGTAAAGGCAAGGGGCCAGACTAAGATTGGTTCAAAAGACCTCATGAAAGACGACACACGAAGTGAGGGTACCCGGCCCGGAGGAAGCCCGGGGTCCCCTTCTAGAGCCAGGCCCAGAAGAAGGACTCGTCGGCGAGTGTCTGGTGGCCGGGCTTGCCACGGAGCCCGGCCGGGCACAGCCCGAAAAGGCAACGTGGGCAACACCTCTGCTTCTCCGTCCCGCGGGCCCACCACCTACGGGAACCAGCAATGGGGTTGGGTGCGCTGCCAGAAGGGTGGCAGTGAAAGCAGAGGGTCTCGACGGACCAGACCCGGGCGACAGAAGCTGGCTTTGGGGACGTGGAACGTCACCTCTTTGGGGGGGAAGGAGCCGGAGCTTGTGCGGGAGGTGGAGCATTACCAGTTGGATCTGGTTGGTTACTGGACTTCTGTGCTAGTCATGGATTGGCCATTACAAACACCATGTTCAAACATAAGGATGCTCATAAGTGTACGTTGTACCAGAGCACCCTAGGCAGAAGGTCCATGATCGATTTCGTTATCCTATCATCGGACCTGAGGCCGTATGTTTTGGACACTCGGGTAAAAAAAGGGGCGGAGTTGTCAACTGATCACCATCTGGTGGTGAGTTGGTTCGAGTGGCGGGGGAAGCCTCTGGACAGACCTGGTAAGCCCAAACGTGTAGTTCGGGTGAACTGGGAACGTCTGGAGGAGGCCCAAGTTCGGTGTTCAAAGCCTCTATTGCCGAAGCCACGGCGGGAGCTGTGGTCTCAAGGTCTTAGGTGCCTCAAGGGGCGGTAACCCTCGAACCTCCTGGTGGACACCGGCGGTCAGGGAAGCCGTCCGACTGAAGAAGGAGGCCTTCAGGGATTTTTTATCCCGGGGGACTCCCGAGGCACTTGCAAGGTACCGACAGGCCCGAAGGGCAGCAGCCTCAGCCTCAGCCGTGGCCGAGGCAAAGCAGCGGGTGTGGGAGAAGTTTGGAGAAGACATGGAAAAGGACTTTCGGGCGGCACCAACGTTGTTCTGGAAAACTGTCCGACACCTCAGGAGGGGGAAGCAGGGAACCATCCAAGCTGTGTACAGTAAGGATGGGACGTTGTTGACCTCAACTGATGGAGTGTTAGGGCGTTGGAA